AAAATCAAAATAATCATCATTGCCTTCATCTTCCACTGCCATAAAGCTACATTCCAAATAAGGATTGAATATTTCACTTCAGAACATATGTACTGCTAACCTCTCTAAGGCAGTGGTGGTGAACCTACAGCACGCATGCCACAGCCAGCTGTTTGTACCATCGAAAGCTCTCAAAGGTTTACCATCACTGTTCTAAGGGAATCATTGCTCAAGCAGGGCATGAAGCCTATTCTTAAATTTTTGCACTTTTTTTCTTATCTTTCCCACTTTGTGTATCTTTAGTCTGATAGGTGGCAGACTGAATGACATACTGTCTTGAGCTATAGACAGTTGGCTAATTTCATGCTTGCATTAACCTTAAAAATTATAATCCTCATGGAAACGAACAGCCCACATTTCTTATTCACAATAAATTCCACCTGGCTTCTTTCCGAGGTTCTTATTGGCAGATCATTTTTTTCTTCTTCACCTCCAACCTGTTTTGTGAGTTTCCTGTGACCCTGGCCTTGGGTGTGAAGGCCTAAAACCAGGCTGGCTCTGTGAGGCCGGAGGGTCACAGCCAGCTGTCTTCACAGCCTGCTGCAGCCAGACTTGCTTTCTTCCTGCAGCCGAGAGCAGCCACTAATGCCGGCTCCCGCTATGCCCACTGAGCTCTTTTTTCTCCTGGAAGGTCAAGCAGGAGGTGCCTCCCAAACTCTGTGGACCAGGTAGAAGTGTTTTTAATTCACTCTAATTAAAAAGGGCCTTTCAGGTTAGTGTTTTGTTTGCTTTGCATTCATTTCAAAAGATTTATGTAGCTAATCTTGCCTCCATCATGATCAAAGACAAGTTGGTCTTGGAAATGAAACCTTTAACAAAACCACATTAAAGAACAACCAATAAGACTGGAACTCCTATTGTGAAAGAATTCAGGGAAAAGTAAGTATCAGAGGAAAAGTAAAATCAAAGTTGAGCGGAAACTTTGCATCCAGCACCCTCTCATATGCTGTAGGTCACATTCAGGACTCTTTTGCAGTACTGGGGATTAAGTCCAAGGCCTTCACACTGTGCTACATCCTCAGCCACTTTTTTGGGTTTTTTGAGACAGAGTCTCACTATGTAGCCCAAGCTGGCCTTGAATTCAAGGTCCTCCTCCTGCCTCAGCCTTCCCAGTTGCTGAGATTACATGTATGCACCACCATGCCCGGTTACTCTCCTTCTATAGCTGTAAAAGTGATACAAATCTGAATAAAATTCACTCAATAATGTTAAAATGTAAAATATTTTGGTCCATGGGTTATTTGGAACCCAATTATTTGTTCCCCCAAATTCCCCTTTCAAAATACAGTGGACTCCCAAGTTACGACCAGCCTGACATATGAACAACTTGGGTTAATTTGGTAAATGGACCTAATTCTACCTCTTATTATCTATAGAGTGTACCTAGGTAAACATCCAGATCTAAGCTGTATTGACTTAACAACCAACTTGAGTTACGATCAGCCCTCGGGAAACAATGGAGTTCATAAGTCAAGGGTCCACTGCATCCCATTACAAATGTGCTAGCTTTTAAAAAACTTCTTGACTCCACATTTCCCGCTGGCCACCTCCTACTTTGCTTCTTCCTGTTTACAACAAAACTACAAAAAGCCACTGGTGTGTACAGACTTCTGTCCCTTCCATGCCTCAGACTCCCAGTCCAGTTAGTTTGGGGCCCAGTAGCCTAGCAAGAGCTTGCCAGGACCCTCAGCAACCTCAGCCTTCTCAGTCCGGTCTTACTTGACCTGAAGCCTGGGACACACAGCTGCTCCCGCCCTGGAGCGCTGTCCCTGTGTCCCAGGACCCCCTCTCTGGGCCTGTCTTAGCAGCCCCCCAACATCAGCCTGGTTTCTCACAGTTCCATAGCCTGAGTTCTTCCCTGCAGTACACCCTGTTCCCCATGACCCCAACCCAGCAGTTTCATCTCCGATCGAATTGCTGACAAGTCCCAAATGTACTGGGATTTCTCCAGCCAGATCTCTTCTGAATTTCTGACTCATATACCCCACTGTCTACTTGGCATCTCTGCTCAGATTTCAAACAGGAATCTCAAACATATCCTGACCAAAAATAAACTACAGATAGTGCTCCCATCCCACCCCCATGAAATCTCTGTTGCTGCCACTGTTTATCTTGCATTTAGTTTATTTCAAGACTTGGTTTCAATAGTTGCATATTGAGGCAGGGTCTCACTACGTAGTTCAGGCTGGCTTCAAACTCACAGAGGTCTTCCTGCCTCAGCCCCTCAAGTGTTGGAATTACAGGTGTGCACCACCATGTCTGGCTTTAAATTTTTTTTTTTTTTTTTGTACCAGGGATTGAATTCGGGTCCTTGCACTTACGAGGCAGGTGGCGGAACCACTGAGCTAAATCCCCGGCCCTAAATTTTTATTTTTAAACTGGTTCTGGCTAGGTCATTAAATTGCTCAGGCTGGACTCCAATTTGTGATTCTCCTGCCTCAGCCTACCAGCGTGCTGGGATTACAGGCATTCAGAACTACGCCTGCCTTTTACCAAATTTTTGTTCACTATTTGAGGATAGCTGCTGTATGAATTTCTTGTGGCTGCTTAACAAACACCACAAACTAGGTGTCTTAGCACAAGAGAAATTTATCATTTCTCCATTACAGAGGCTGGGAGTCTGAACTCAAGGTGTCCACAGAGCCCTGCTCCCTAAGAAGGCTCAAAAGGAAGACACTTCTTGCCTCTTCCAGCTTCCAGTGGCCCCAGGGGCTGACTAGCTGGTAGCAGCTTCACTCCAACCTGTCACATGGACATCTGCCCTCGGAGTCTGTCTCTTCCTGTAAGGTCCCAGTCACAGTGGCTCTGCCCCAGGGTGAACTCATCTTAATTCATCTGCAGCAGCTCCATGTCCAGGTAAGATGCCATTCCGATCGGGCCAGGACCCACAGTGGCTGAGAACAGTTCACGGCCACTGCACAGCCACAGCCCTGCCCTCTGAGGTCCTTGCTAAGCCACCATCGCAGTCCTCTGAGTTTGAACACCTCCTGCCTGATGTAACACATCCGCCCACTTTGGCTTATACCACAGTTAAAATTAGTCTTAAAAAAAATGAGCCTATTTAGCTCAGTGGTTCTGCCACCTGCCTTGTAAGCGCAAGATCCTGAGTTTGATCCCCAGTACAAAAAAAAAAAAAAAATGAGCCTAATTCCTCTCCAGTCTTCCCTCATTAAATATTTTAAAACATCCAGGCATGGTGGAGCACACCTGTAGTCCCGTCACTGGAGAGGCTGAGGCAGAAGGACTGCTGTGAGAGGCCAGCCTAGGATATATAGTGAGTTCAAGGCCAGCCTGGACTATAAAGTGAGATTCTGTCTCAAGAAAGAAACAAAACCAAAAAATTTTATTTTAAAACAAAACACTTTCATATTTCAGCCTTAATGAGGGTCAGCCTTTTCCCCATGCAAAATAATTTCACAAATGTCTTCTTGGTAAAAGTAAAACACAGCAATGATTGTAAACTCTTAACACACGAGAGGAAAAGTTTTGTATGTTATCTGTGGGTATGTAAAAAAATGTTGCAACTGCAAATCCAATGGCTTTGGATTTGAAAATGCTCACAGAAAGCTAATAAAAATTTCATGGTATCAGGCAGATTGAGTTTCAAATAAGTGCCACGGCCCCTGCACGTGGCCAGCAGGAGCTCCTTTCCCAACAGGCCATGGTAGTTAATTGAACCAATTATGTCTCTTTCTGGGAATTTAGACAAAAGACCTGGAGTTCTTTGCTCACAGGGAAAAGGGAAGAAGTAGAACAGTATGTGTGGTGGCACAAGCCTGTAATCCCAGCACTCAGGAGGCTGAGACAGGAGGATTGTAGCCTGGGCTACATAGTAAGTTCAAGGCCAGCCTGGATTTTGAGATCCTGTCTCAAAGAACAAAAGCAAAAACTAGCAAAGTGGAAGAACACAGAAGGCAGCAAGCAGAGGCCACGGGACAGAGAACACGTCGGGCTGCTGACCCTTCAGCTGCTTACACAGTTAAAGGGGTCATCTCAACAAGCAGAGTTACTTTGGACACAGAAGTCAGTCCTTTTGGGGGGGGGGGGGATGGGTCTCACTATGTAGTCCAGGCTGGCCTCCAACTCATGGTGATCCTCCTGCCTCAGTTTTCCGAGGGCTCATTCCAGGGGTGCCCCACCAGGCTCGAGTGTTTCTTCTGTTCTACTTTTTTAAAGTAGCACCCCTTAAACTAATTTTACAATCCACCAAGGAAGTTAGTGGTATTAGTTCTGTAACTACCGTGGAAGGGGGAATCCAAATCCACAAAATAAGCATAACTTTTTTTTTTTTTTTGAAACAGGCTCTCGCTATGTAACCGACGCTGGCCTCAAACTCGTCGCGATCCTCCTGCCTCGGCCTCCCGAGGGCTGGGATTACAGGCACGCACCACAGTGCCGGGTCCAAATTCTTGACCTTTCAAATGAATGCTGATTCCATTCTTCCCACGGCACTTCCCCTATGGATGACGCTTAGTTACCGCCCACATCAAGGCCAGACTGACTAATGCTAAAACAGCATGACCATAATTTAAAAAAAAAAAAAAGCCGTAGGGAAGTGATAGCCAACCCACTGCAGGCACACAACGGCCACGCGCCTCGCGCCTTTTAAGGGCTGGGCTGGCGCGAATCCGCCAACCGCTCGGCATCCAGCCACTCGCCGCGTCTCCCGCCTCTTGCCCCGCCCCACGCCTCGCTTCGACCAATCACCGGGCAACTATTTCTGCTCTCCCGCTCACCCCTACCTTCGGACAGCTAGAGGCACTCCAACCTAGCTGGCGCCTAGCGGCTCTATTGCAGCCGGGATATATTTTTAGCTCTCCTAGCAAGCACCCGGCTCCTGGCTCCGCCTCCTGGTCTCCCCCAATGGGAGACGGAATTTCCGTTGCGTCACCGCGCGGGCAGGTGAGAACTGTCCAATCAGCGTTCGAGGAGAGCTGGCGTCATTAAAAAGCGGCGGAAGGAGGTGGGAGGGTCATGACGCAGCGAGTTTCTGTCGTGACTTTCCGGGGGCAGTTTGGCGTCCCCTCTTTTTCCCTTTAAAGTAAAACGTGTCCTCGACGCACCCTGGTCCCTACCGCACGCATCTGGGGGGCGGCCGAGGCGGCGGGAGGGGCCGAGCTGACGGGCGGGCCGGCGCGCTGGGTCACGTGGGTGTGTTGTGGGGGGAGGGGCGCGGCCGCGCGGTAGGTTCTGGGCGGTTGGGCGCGCGAGCGATCGAGCGAGCAAGGGAGAAGGAGCGAAGGTATCCGTGTCCGTCGCCGTCGCCGCCGCCGCCCCTGCTCTGTATGCGGCTCTGCCCCGGCGCGGCCGCCGCCGATCGCAGCAGCAGCCGCCGCCGCCGCGGTTGATGTGGTTGGGCCGGGGCTGAGGAGGTCGCCAAGATGCCGCAGTCGAAGTCCCGGAAGATCGCTATCCTGGGCTACCGGTCTGTGGGTGAGTGGCGCGGCGGGGCGCGGCCTCCAGGCGCTTCTAGGGTCGGGGTCTCATCTGGGCGTCCTGGGCTCCGGGACGCGGCCAGGCTGGAGAAGTTTGGAGCCGGCCCGGCCATGTGGCGGGCAGGCGCGTTTCGTAACCACCATCTTGCGCGGAGGCGGCGGCTCCGGGCGGGCGGCAATCGGGGCGCGGCGGCAGCGGGCAGCGAGGGCTGCACCTGTCCCCGCGCGATCGGCGCCCGCGATTCATCGCTCCCTTGGATTAAATAAAATCCGCGGGGGTCCAACAAAGTCCTTGCGGCATCCGAGACTCTTTCCTTGGGGGTGAAGTTTAGCCTTTTAGAGTACTGGGGGCTGCAAAGGGCGTCGGGCATCAGGGCAATTTTCCTACCCGAGAAGCTTAGAACAGCCCCTCACCCCCATAGACCTTTGGAAGCCGACTCGAGAACTGCCCGGCAGCCAAAATAGGAAGGGAGAAAAAAAGACATCTCTGAATGTCCTGTGCCCTATTTTTCTCCGGGAGGAAATAAGGTCAGGTACTTGAAACCAGGCTGTACAAGTAATTCAAAAGTCTCCCCCCCCACACACACAACGGTTGACACACATTTGAAACTCTAACTGGCAGTTGGCTCTTTGCAGATTAGAGGTGGGGTGTGGGGGTGACAGGGTGTCAGAAAAGGAGTTTTCTGTGTAGCCCGGGAGGAGACAATTGAACTTAACCCTGCTTTTGGGTGAGGCTTTAGTGTCTTTTAGCAACAGAAGCCTGGAGAAGTCACGTTCGTGTTTTTGTGCTGTTTTCAAGAAGTTACTAACGCAGAGGTGCTCTTGACCACCGGGCGGGGGTTGAGGGCCCTAGGGATTGCAGAACGAGGTGACGGTAGCTGCTAGAGAAAGCTTGAAAGCTGCTGCTGGCCATTGGATGGCCTCCCCAGCACGCGCTCTCTTCTACTTTTCTTCGCCCGTGCCGGGGTCTGTGCTCTTTGACCAGCGCCCACGTTGCGTACCCGTCCTTCCCTGTCGCTTCCTCAAGTGCTGGGGGAACTTGGGGTCATCAGGCAGGGAGAGGCTTGTTTGAGGTACGGGATTCCAATAGGGGTTATTTTTGCGTGGTTTGGTCAAGTTAGAGTGGGATTGTAGTCGGATTCTTGAAGTAACTGCATCAAGTCGAGCCTTTTAATGTTCCTAACAGTCCACTTCCCAGATGCCAGAATGGACCCCGATTCAACTTTTCTTGGTGGTCACCGTGGTGTTGCTTCCCTCTGTTCTCTATTTCCACCTCTGCATTTTCAAGAGGACCACGTCATGCTCTGTCTGATCAGATACACAGCGCCAGCTAATTGTAGGTAATATAGGCCTTGAATGATCAGGTTGCAGGTGACAAGTACCTGCGCCACCAGATTCAACCTGGGCAGTGTCCTGGAGTTCCTTTCTTTACTACTTGAAAATTTTGAAATAAAGATTCTTATCTCTTTAGCTAGAAAGTGTTTTTGTCACTTTTGTTAAAGAAGTTACTCTTGTCTGCTATAAATCCGTTCTTTTCTCTTCCTCTAATCAGCATCCTCTTAAAGTCCAAGGTGCGACCCAGCTACCCCTTAGCTTTTTCTTCAGTTTTATTTTAAACTGCTGTTTGGTAAATGCTGTGCTAATTTAGCTTGCAGAGAGATAACACAGTAACTTTTAGAACCTATTTTCTATGCCCTCTGTATTGCGTAATTAATTCTACATCCTCCATTTTTCCGTACTCATTTCAAGAATAGTAGTGGTTAACGTAAAAGACATTTTGGAGTGGTTACATTACTCCCAGAGAAATTTGAGTATCTGTTCCTAGGTTGTGATATTTCATGATGCCAAGCCCATGGTTCATATTGACTGGCAATAAATTATTGTAGAAATAGGCTCATCCAGGAACCGCACCTTCTCTAAATGTTCCCTTGATTAAATGTTTTATGCTAGTTTGATTGGAATATTTGTCATTGTGACTTTGATCATGCCACAAGCTATTTTAAAAGTTTGCTTTAGTGCTTGCTTCTGCCCCATATATACTAAAAGTTTTGCCTTTAGTTGAATCTATGAAATGCTATGGTGGTTTTACTAGTTAGTTTTCAAATTTCGTGTTACTTGGAAACATTGATAAAACAATAGGGATAATATAATTGTCAGGTAATTTATACAACTTTTTTTTGGTACCAGGGATCAAACTCAGGACCTTGGGCTTTCGAGCCAGGCGTGGTGCCACTGAGCTAAATCCCCGGCCCTAATTTGTACAACTTTATTCCCCCTGAAGTACTTTCTTTGTTTTTTAAACTGTTAAAGATTTTAAGGACGGGACACCTTAAGGAAGTGCTTTGTGCTCATTATTTTTGTGTTGGCCAAATGTACTGGTTCCCTGGTTTTCTTTTGTTCCTAATAAAGCCTAGTAGTCTCACTGTAAGAGACTACTAAATTTAATTAAGCTAAAGTAGGGTCAGGTAAACTGCCTTCAATATGGTGTATCTGTCCTTGGAGATTTAGAGGACTTGGGTAATCTAGATTACCATTAGACAATAATCAGAAGCTTGTTTATAATATATAAGCTTCTTACGTATGGTTAACAAGAGGAATGTGAGCGATTACCAGAGAAAGTGAAGCAGCTCTGTGTGGTTTGGAAAAGGCAACTCAGCAAAAGTACTCAGATGGTTAGCCTTGTCAGAATCCTGTAGGTAGTGCTGGGATACTTGATAGGAAAAGCTATCATTACCTATCTGATCATTCCCAGTAGAACACAACCAAATTGTATTCTAATTTTAAGTTATCCTGTCCCTTTCTGACACATTCCATTGGGAAAATTGACAGGTAAAAATACACTTGGCATGTATAAAATCTGTCAGTGTGTAAAATTGTGTCTGTAGGTACTTAGAACATTTTAATCATTGTGTACCTGTGGGTGGGGGTGGTCCTATAGTGGCTACTTTGTTGTTTTTAGCAAAACATTTATTGGTACATTTTAGGTATACGTAATGATAACATTCATCATAGGGAAATTGTACCAGTGCGTGATTTATCTTGCTTCTTTTTTTCCCCATCCCCCCCATACGTACAAAAATTGTTTCCATTTTTTCCTTCAGTTTTCTCTTTTTCCCTTGTCCCTTCTTTCCCTCCCCCCTCGCTACTTTGTATTGAAGCATAAAATTCCTTTTTGTTTGGTCTTATTTATTGTTCTGCACAAGAAAATAATGAGAGCTCACCTTGTGATTATGACTTTCCAGTGCCATATGTTATTTGGATGTCCATGTTGGTTTTATCTGCCCGTACTGACCTTCATTGCCACAAAAAGAAACCCCATACTCATTAGCAGCCACTCTGCCTCTTCCTTTCTCCTAAACCCTGGCAGCCAGTAATCTGCTTTATTTCTATAGATTTACTTATTCTGGACATTTCCTCTGAATTGAACCATATTTGTGTTATTTGTGACTGAAATCTTTCACTTTAGCATAATATTTTCATGCTTCATCCACTTTGTAGCATGTGTCAGTACTTATTCCTGTTTGTGGCCAAATAATATTCTGTCATGTAAGTTTAGCATGTTTTACCATAGTGTTTATTCATTTATCAGTTGGATACATGAGTTGCTTCTGTCTTTTGGCTACCAGAACAATGGTGTCATGAGTATTCCTGTACAAACTTTTACATAGGCATGTTTTCATTTCTCTTGGTTGTATTTCTAGGAGTGGAATTACTTGGTCATATGGTAGCTCTGTTTAGTGTTGTGAGGAACTGTCAAGCTTTTCCAAAGCAGGTGCCCACATTCCAACCAACAGTATATGAAGGTTTAATTTTTTTTCACACCCTCACCAATACTTGTTATAGTCTGTCCTTTAGTTTTAGCTGCTCTAGTGGGCATGGAGTATTATTTGTGTATGATTTGCAAATAATTTTTCCCACCTGTGGGTACCTTTTTCTCCTTGGTCTGGGACTCCAACCCAGGCCCTCACACGTGCTAGACCAGCACTCTACCACTGAGCTACATTCCTATGCCCTTTTCATTTTCTTGATGGTGGCCTTAGAAACAAGAAGTTAATTTTGAAATGTATTTTACCTTTTTTGTCACTTGTGCTTTGGTGTCACATCTAGCAAACCATTGCCTAATCCAAGGCCAAGTAGATTTATACTGTTTTCTTTCAGATGTTTGTATTCTTTGTTGTTTTAGGTTAGGGGTTTGTTTTGTTTTGTTTGCCCCTTTCCTGTCCCTTGCTATACTGGGGATGGAACCCAGGGCCTTCACGCTGAGCCGCTTCCCCAGTCCTTTTTACTTTTTAAAATTCTGAGACAGGGCCTCACTTAGCCACCAAGTTGCTCTGGGTAGACTGGAACTTGCAGTCATCCTGCCTTAGCCTCCCAGAGTGCTTTGATTACAGGAATAGATGACTATGCCTGGCCTACTCTTTGCTCTTGCATTTAGCTCTATGATCTGTTGGAAATTAGTATTTAGTGGGAGAAAAGGGTACATTTTCATTCTTTTGCATGTTGTCCCAGTCCACTGTTACAAGACTCTCTTAATTGAATTTTCCTGTGGGAAATCAGATGATCATAGATTTAAGGGCTTATTTCAGGACTCCCATTCCATTGATCTGTATCATCGTCCTTATGTCACAGTCTTGATCACAGTACTTTTTTTTTTTTTTTTTTGGTACCAGAGATTGAACTCGGGTTCTTGCGCTTGCACAGCAGGCAGTGAAACCACTGAGCTAAATCCCCGGCCCAAACAGTGTTGGAAGACATTTATTACCTAATTTTTTTTTTTTTTTTTGGTACTGGGGATTGAACTCAGGACCTTGGGCTTGTGAGGCAGGCTGTGGACCCACTGAGCTAAGTTCCCTGGCCCTGTTTTATGGGTTTTAAAGACTTTTTTAATAACCAACTTTAAAAACAGACCATTCTTGGAGCCCAAGATTTAGCTCAGTGATTCCGCCACCTGTCTCGCAAGCACAAGGACCCAAGTTCGATCCATGGTACCAAAAAAAA